TTATTTCTCTTTTGAGCCATTATACATTTCAATTTGTTTTGTACCGCATAAAAATAAATGTAACCTTACACAGAATATGTGTGTTCGAAGAAGTTGTTTCATTTACCAGCCTACAGTCATGGGCAAGAAATTGGGTAAAATGAAACGAACCTGCGAAGATTAGTTTAGAGCATAGCTACTCTACATGGCATATCTCGTACACATTGCGTTGTTTGAATATGTCGATTTCAACCTTTCAATTTTAATCAGAATAAGCAAGCTATCACCCGTGGTTGTATATGTGTGTGATATTTATGCATACTGTGATACCGGTTCGCAATTACAATTAAGGTCACAAACCTAGTCAAGCTGAATACACGAATTTTGTCCATGCACCTTTCATCTGCACTGGAACTGTTGTTAATAAAAAATAAACTTCAGTTTAGAAATTTATTCTAGTAACCAAAAGCAGGGTATCTCTTTATCACACAAATCAAATTGCATTGTTCTGTTCCATTCTGGACAATAGGGGACCCTCTCAGCAGAACTCGATTAGCTGCTATAGTTCATTTTAACCATTGACAGCGGCATCACACTAAAGCGTGCAGCATGACAAATAGCGGGAGAGAAGACACAACCTAATCACTCTGTTTGCGTCAGCTCTAACTGTCCGTGCTCTTTGGTCTTGCTGCATGTGATAATGCCCACCAAATTAGCACGAAAGCCTGTCCCTACAAAGGCAGTCAAATTGGCTGCAAGCAGTTAGCTCACTGCATGTGTAGATTTTCTTCAAAACACCGTGAAGACTGATTGCTGGTCGAATATCCAAACACGTGAAAAGTAATATACCAGGTATGATATTGGTATTTCAGCACTGGACACTTTTGCGATAAGAGAGGATGGAGGAGAAAATTACGAACCCTGAATTGTTTAATTTTTGAAGGGGCACAGTACAGCGCTTTTGGGTCAAAAAGGGAGTGAAAGAAGCAAGTGCGAAAGCCTACTTCTAAAAAAATTAGTACCCGCCACCACGCATAATGTCAGGCCGGGCAACCTCTTGAAAAAAAAAAGTGCTCAGTGATTCTGCGAATCGAACCAAGTACCTCCTAGATTGTAGTTGAGCGCTGTAACCGCTCGTCCACTGCAGCAGTGCTTGCATTCGCCTTATTGCTGATATATCGTCATTCCTTCGAATGAAGCCAAATGCAAAAACGTCCGGTGAAACTTTGTCAAAAATAGAAAAACTAGTTAGAATGCGTTCGCCCAAGGTTACTAGAAGATAGAAACCGCCACGTGTGACCGTATAACCGTGCGCTATTTATTCTTGTACATTACTGTCATGACGTTGGGATAGCCGGCTCTAACGTAGGCTACCTTCTCATAGTTTGCCAAATATAAATAAGAAAATAAAAATATATATCGGCCTGTGACAACGCTTATTATGAGTTCACTGTCACTAGTGTCACTTTCACTAGATGAATGCTCGGTTTGCTTCCATTATCGTTATTTAGGAAAGTTTTCGCTCATTAACTCAACTCTCCTAATTAGCATTGATTCTCACATCTAAAGACAGTCACACTTCATCTCGCTTTCTGAGTGGCTGTCACTCCCATATAACGCGTACTCCACTTTTTCATGCTCTCCGAGCATCTGACGCTGCTTTGCGGAGACTTTCCATGACGTCTGCTGGGCCAGAAAATTGTCTTTATTATCTATCAATTTCAAGCTTTCGCGAAGCCGAAACGAGAGTCTCTCTCTCTCTCTTTTCATCCTTTTCGCACGTGTGATAACGTCTCTCGACCTCAAGACTCGTATACACGTCCCTCGCTTTGTTTGCGCACTCAAACAACGCTGGACGAAATATTTGCACCGTGTTTTGTGAAAAGCATTAGCACTGAGACACCTCCCGACGAGTCTCCCTCATTTTGCGTAGACATATACCTAAGCGTAAGCGTATGCACGTTCTCGCATTCCGGCTTTATAAAAATGCTGCGGTGCATGGAACCAGCGAAATTGCGCTCACAATTTCATTTGATTACTGCTGTTATCTATTTCCGCACAATTCGTCTGCAGGCACCAAAGTCGTTCATGTGTCTTGTAATAAGAATATTGTAACAAAGACTACCTTTAACTATAGGTGCAAAACACCCTTACGTTCACCACTATACCGTGCTAGATTGCACCGAATTAGTTAAGTAGCAGCGCAGCTTCAATGAAATGCAAGGTAACTGGTCGCGTTAAATAGGAAAAGACATTCGAGGCACATTTTCAAACATTGCATGCATCGATTTATGTGTGGTTTCATTTATGTGGTGCACCTGGAGTGGTGTTTACTTGTACTTGGCGAGATAGTGCATGGATTACTAGGTGGCTTAAGGCCATCGAGCAATTATTTTTTTTAGCTACAGTCGTTAATTAAAGGCGAGTGCTTGGCTTTGCACAGCCCACCAAAACGTCTATTACAACGTACGCGGCACCCCGTAAGCGCTGTAGCAGACGCTCGCGGAACTGAAACTTAGATGCAGCAAATCATTGGCTATCATCGTATACTCTCGATGCTAGACGCTTTGCGTGCTACCTTGATATTATCGGCACACACTTCTTTCTTTCCTTGTCGTTTCATCGGCTATCGTGTGTCCTCCTTGCCCTCTTAAGTGCCGAATAAGTTAAATTCATACCCGCGCTATAGTAATCCCTCCAGATAAGAGAATTTTTGGCTAAGAAAATGCGTAGCCAAAGAGAAAGCTTTGTGAATTCGGCCCCTGGTGTATAAAGGTTCTCTGCGGCTCCCTGAATACTTCATATCAACGCAGCTACCAGCCCAGCCACAAAAATTCCTACACCCTCTCCTTGACTGCACTCAATACCTCCGGCCCATTCAAGTTTAACCTTCGAAGAACAAGAAGATGTTTGTCCATCCTGATCTGGCAACATCAACAATTTCGCGCGCCACGACGCAGTCAAACCTCCTTTAACACCAGCCCTCGAGGAACCGTTTGGCGTTCTTAACCACACTAAAGAAACTGCTACACTTCAGAATAGCCATGAAAAGACTGTCAGCTTGGACTTACTTAAGCCAGCCTACCTGAAGACCAGCAACATCTACGCCTGACCTCCTGTTGGACTACAAAAACATGTAACGTTATGACTTCCAGTCTACGCTAGTCTACACGAAGGAGGGGGGAGGGGCTGTAGCACCTTCGTTTTGGCGGCGCGCAAACGAAAAAAAAATGAAGTCGGCGTTTGGCAGTGGCACATGAAGCCAAGTCTCACGTTCCCTGCTGGTGTCGATTGTGGTTCAGCCGTTCTTTTCCTTCGCTCCTGTGAGGAAAGCCTACATCCACTTTCACCACTTTCGTCGCTTCTCGTCATTAGAAGGAGCTGATACACCATTTTGTTTAGGCTGCATGATTGGTTAAGACAAAGCATTAAGTACTTGAACTTAATAGTGGTAGTTGCTTTAAAGGTAGCTTGATGAGCATGAGATCTACAGCAAAAATGCTGCTCAGAAGTGTTGTAGCGTGAGAAATGCAGACGTTAAGAACAGTAGGTGCTGATTTCTTTACGTTTGATTTGAGTTTCTTTTTAATATGTACCGTTCTATTAGAAGCTGAAGATACTGCGTTACTATGTGAATAATCTGTGATTTTTGTACGGTTACATCATGACTTTACCTGGAATGTCATGCGCGATTCGCTTCTGAATGAATTTTGTTGTGAAAAGCAGTAATTATGGTGCGTACTTAACTCTCACTGAACACTTCTTCACCATCAGACGCAGCCACTACGTGAACGGATTATACCACATGCTTTATTCCTAATGAGCCATCGCAATTTGAAATCTGACAAAAAACTGTGAGCATATCTGTAGAATTTTTAAAACGTGTTTTTCAGATCTTCTCTAAGCGGTTACAGAAGTGATTATATCACATTACATTGCCACGCATTACGTCATTCCAGTCGAGAAACGTTAAGGAAACACATCAACAAAAAGCACACACCGCCCCAAATACAAACACATGCGGACGAAGGTGAACCTATGACGCGAGCAGGAAAACCAAATCCAGCAGCATTCCACAGATCGTGATTCACCCGGGATGCAGAATGCATGAAAAGAAGTGAGACTATTTGTCGCCCCTGTCACATCCTCTAAACATTTGATACACTCGTTCTGCTAATGTCGCCCAAACCTTTGTCGCCACAAGAAACATGCGTGCAGAACGTTTGCCGAAGACCTGCAGAATCTCTGCAGAATTGTTTTCAGAATATGTGCCCACTGTTGTCGCAGGTACAAGAAAAAACAAAAGCTACCCTTTGCATTAGCAGCGCGAGTCAAGGAACATGAAGCATCGTATAACCACCAGCACATGCCAACGACACACATGCAACCCTATCAAAGCAAAATACCACACACATTGTCCACTGGCTTTTCACAACCTAACACTAAAGACTTCTAACGTATAGTTATAGCACCTTAGCCTAACATTTAGTGCTAGCAGTGAAATTTGTATTAAGAAAAATTTTAAATTACAAGTTTTCACAGTGTACACTCTCGGGAGCACTTGGCAATGTCATTTCAGTTCCGAAAAAAAAAAGAAATACGACTCGAAAAATGTTGATATATGATGGGTGCTTGTCACAGAATATTTTGAGTCTCGAAAACCAGTTTTTAGACATGAGATCTTGGCATACGCAAATATGCAAATGATGTGTCGTTCAAATAACAGTTTTGGATGTGCCTCAGTTATGCGCTTGGAAGCTTAAGGCTTGGGACTTCTCATTACAGACGCGAAATAACGCCTCGCGTTGCCTACACTTGCTTTTGCCGCCGCGTCGCACTTCCGCTGAATCTATAAGCATGCCGTGTCAAGTTCGAATGATATTCGACGCCCCTGAAAGTGACGCCATATCTGTGCAGACTTCGAAACTCTAGCTGTCTTCGTCGTTGTTGTTGGTATCGCTTTTGTTGTTATTGTCGTGTCGTCTCGTATATTTGAGCATGCATTCTGTTTCGAATTACAGAAAACGTCACGCGCCAGTGTTGGCAAAACGGATCGTGGGCGGCACGTTCCGACTATTCCAACTGTCGGCCCATTTTGGAAGGAGCCACGGCTGACACGCAAGTGAGCTCGCCTTTGACAGCCCATATTTATCTGATGTTTTCTTTTTTCTCTTGGAGCGACATTTCTTAGAAAGCATGTTTCACAAACATGACAGCCTTTTTTTTCACTAAATATAAGCTTACCGTCACAGGAACAGTTAGGACGGTTCATCAGTCAAAGCTTTCTAGTATAGGACATCAAATCCACTAATCCGAATGACAACAATAAAAAGAAAATCTTGAACAGCTATATAGCAAAACCAGAATTCTTTTTTTCACGAACAGGTGATAAAAAAACGTGGAAGAATAACGGTGATCAGCATAGTCAACCGTCGCCGCAAAAGCTAGCTGATGAGCTCCTTTCAGCCTAATATTTTCCTGAGACTAAACTCTTCTACAAAAAAAAACAAAAATTGTTGAACAACGATTTTTAAGATGTTGCAAATCTCTCTCCTTTTTTTGCAGCACGCAGCCGTGATGACTGAACAAAGTTGTAAAAACAAACATTCGTTGGTTGAGCTGCTGCACACTGTGAACTAAAACCTCGACCTAGGCACTGGTTGAAATATGCCTCGCTAATGAATTCGACGAGTAGTTTAGGCGAAAGCGCTCACACGTGGCCAGTTCCAGAAAGCCTAAAGCTTCCGGTACGATTCTTTTGTAACACTTTTTTCCGCTTGAGAAGGTTAGAGGTTGGAGCGCACACTGCAGGTAGCGACGCGATATCTGTTACGTACAATACGATATAGCGTTTTTGAAATCACAATCGTACGCTTCATGAGCAACTCAATTACTTGTACAGCATTAGCTGAAACGCTGGTATTGTTGTTCTATATGAAATTCGTCGGTGACCTTGAATATTTGAATCTATAGAGGTGGCTAATGACACCAACTGGGTTCAAGGACAGCTCTACGCTTGATTGAGTGAAACAGGTAGAGCTGCGTTTGGCGATTCTCCTGCAGGACACATATATTGGTCGTATACGCATGCACAATCATTTTTACTAGTCCGTTTTTTTTTCTCTTTCAGGTCGACGAGACGTTGTTATACTACATCGGCTACGGCCTGTCACTCTGCGCACTTACCCTAGCATTGTGGATATTCTTTTACTTCAAGTAAGCATCGTTCTACAAAGAATTTAGTGCACACTCATAGCCATTGAATGGAGGCTTTTTTTCTCACTGTTAGCATGCTAAAACTGTTCATAAAATAGTTGCACTTTATTACCTTGTTTGTTCATGCAGAGTGACCATTTCACTGAACCACGTTCCAGTCGTTTCTTTCATACCCCGAAAGCCATGGCAAATTTCTAAATTTCGTTTCACAGAATGAGCTTAGATAAGGTTCTCTGAATGATCAGTGTGTAAAGACTAAAATAATATTTTTATGAATATTGCAAATATAACGTGTTTTTCTAAGTAAGTTGAAGCACGCAGTTGCAGATGTTTCCTGTACGATTGTTTCCTAATACCATCTTGTCAAAAACAGAAACTCCAATTATGGTGCTCTCAATGACTTCAGGCACGCTTCTGCTTCCACCATGTTAGCGTTTAAGAATGTCAGGATGCCAGGCCGTGCTCATTTAGACGTTGAGCATAGGTACGGATCATATCAGTGCAGACGCATGCCCAAGAAAACAGAAGTGGACAGTGTGGATGCCGCTTATGTTGTGTTGTACTTTTCTCTAGTACCCGCGTGTCAAAACCAGTGTATCGATGAAACTTCAAAATTATTTTTCAGCGAAATTGCATTCTAATCATTACTTTTCTTGTTTAGGTTGCACGTTTTGAACAAATGATTGTTGTGGTATGGGCAAGGAAGTGCTGTAGTGCTGGTTCCAACAGAATAGCTTCATTTTAGAGTTCTATTTACAACGCAATGTATAAATGATAATAAAGATCCAGACTAATGCGGAGTTTCTAACACCCTTATGGGTTAAAACATTTTGCCAGAAAAGGCATGGTATATGATTCCCTTTACAGAATATTTGATTTTGTAGTTATCACAAAAGATGATGTGGAGTTGATGATGTCGTTCTAGAAAGCCTTCAATTATTTACAACAAGCAATGTTTTTTTTTGTATAGTGCTTCGATTACCTATACGTTTCCATTTACAGATAGTAAACATTTTTTTTCCTCCAGGGACCTCAGCTGCCTCAGAAACACAATACACGTGAATCTCATGGTTACGTACTTTCTCATTTCTATAACCTGGATCATCACCGCTACGCTGCAGTCGGTGCCTTTGCCAAATTTCCAAAGAGTAAGTTGCTAAAGTAATCAAGCCCTGTCGTTCGTGGTGAGAGAATCAGACTTAATCAACATTCTTGCTTCCTTTTCTAATAGCAACATATTTACCTACGTGTCTTGAATGCACTCTTTGATTGTGGTTATCCGCGTGCTTTTGTAATTATGTGGATCGGCATGCTGCCTTTGCTCAGCAACACGTTGTTGGGAATAAGAACTTCTTTGTGGGAACATCCAAAGGTAATTCAAAACTACATTTAAAGATCATGTGTGCACAAAGTCGAGTACTGGTAACCATTCTTCACGCCGGCATATGCGCCACAGTTAGAGTTGCTAACACTGGAAGCTTTGTGTTCTGTTTTGCAAAACCATTCCACATGCGATGCGCATCAAGATAATGGAATTTGAAGTTCTTGCGCCAACGATGTAGTGGAGCATTCAAAAATTTACGCTGAATACTGCGATTACAAAATTAGTAGCTCTAAGGGCTCTAAAAAGCAGGCGAATTTCTCGTCAGACCATACGAAGTTTGCAGCCACAGGGGGTGATAATCCAAGGAACACGTTTCTTTTCGCAGCAGGTTTTGGCGTGACTCCCACCAAAATGTCTATCTTTAATCGAACGGACGTGGTCACGTGCGCCAAATCTCGAATGTGATCGGCAAACGCCTACACTTCTGTTCACGCTACGGTCTCCACACTCGGACTGCGTTGAAGCGACAAACAGTGTGAAGGCCGTATCGCTCACTGCAGCAGCCGTGTTCTCTTCCTCATATTGTTAGGAACAGGTTAGGTGCCTAAATAGTAAGCTAAAAGCCTTACTTCTTATTATGTTCCAATTTGTAGATATTATACTCATTGCTTCAATCTTGCGGTGAAACTCTCACTATCATTGTTCAATGAAGAAAGCGACTGCATGTGAACAAACTTTTTCACTGGCCGAAACGCAGGCAGCTTGCGGTCTGTACATTGTTCTCACGTACTTGATGGGGACCAATTTCTTTTGGATGTTCGTCGAGGGCCTCTACCTGTACATCCTAGTCGTGAAGACGTTCTCCGTTGAAGTTGTGCGGATACACGTCTACGCGTTCATCGGTTGGGGTAAGTGTTTATGCCTATGTGGTCACTCTTGCTTAGGTTTTGCGCATTTTTGAGATATATTTAAACGGAATATACAAGAAGTAAAATTCAACAATGCAATAATATGATGACTACAGTTCCTCGGAAAATAATCGGAATATTGAGGTAGTGTGGAAAGTAGGGCACGTTTCGTTCATGCCCACAGTGGTTAGTTTGGAGAATTAATAATGCCAGTTTATGACATACGTTGAAGAAAGCACGCGGAAGAATGGCACTTCAGAATGTATTCACACCAGAAGTAGGTCCACTTGCACAGCGTGGGTGGACATACTGTAGAGAATGAGAAAGAGAAAAAAAACGGTGAAAATCAACATACGCTTATACTGACGTCATCGAATCAAGGGGGAAGCACCGCTTCTTTCCACTTAGCAGAAGGACCAAGTCACCTGAGTCTGAGCTGATGTCTTGGTGAGTAGTTCTTCGCAAGTTTAAAACGTCTGAACACATGTATTTTATTAAGGCCGAGATGATGAATAAGCTCATGAATAAACAAAACACTCTGGTAAGATAATGCGCCAAAAAAAACACCCAAGAGTTCGCTTGATCACAAAAACAGAAAGACCATTTCACGCCTAATGTTTGAGCCCTACTGCCCGCTATCTCAAATGCATGTGCAAAAGTTGTGCCAATTTCTAGCATTAAAAACAATGAAATGCTAGGATATCTCAGAGTAGGAAAAGTTTTATTCCTGTGGAAACCTGCACGATTTCGCAGAATATCACATAACTGATGTTCGTCGAAAACACGTACTGGGACTATTAGTTTTTGTGTGAATGTTATATTTGGGTTACAGATTTAACATGAATATAGGCAAGCTCTACAATAATGATTTAATGAACGCTCCTTACGCCGTGGGTTGAATGTGCCGTGTTGTAGTGGCAGTAGTCACCTCTGGTTTGGTCCTTAGAATGTCCGCTGATGGCGGTACTTGTATATGATGAATAAATGGATGAATAGATGTGAGCTGGCGGTGCTTGGAGAGTTCACTAGATGGACGTACGGATGCATGGACGGACGGATGAATGAACAGACAGCCAGACGCACGGACGGCAGCACGGATGGACGCATGAAAGGACGGGTAAGCAGACGGACGGACGCATGGACACTTCGCCTCACTCATCATCATTCACTCCATGGATATGCTGCGATTTTTCTACAATATTCAGCGCCAGAAATTGCCTCAAAAGTGTTTTGTTTTTGTTTTGCTCCAGCAATATTTATTTTATACTGAAACAACAAGAGTAATGCATTCTTTCTCTATGGAAGAGGTATTTTCGCTGAAAATATTTCACGATCACCGCAACCATCAATTATTTTCGAAAAAAATCGTGTATTTGAGAAAATCGTCAACTTTGTTCACACTGTGACGTAATTCGCACCACCTGAAGCCCTAAATAAGGTTTACAGCTAAGCAGTATAACATATATGCAGAGTTGTCGAAACTAAATAAACACTTTCTCATATATCGGCACTTTCGTTCTTGATGCTTTAGCAACAAAGTTATCTTTAAGTCTCCATTCATTGCCATTTTCTAATCTAGTTCATACATCAGCTCCACCACTGAAGTTTTCTATTGCCAGTATGAGGAATTTAAAAATCACAGGAGGAGGAGGAGGAGGAGGAGGAGGAAGGGAAAAAATGAAAGGCAGGGAGGTCAACCAGACGCACGTCCGGTTTGATACCCTGCACTGGGGGAAGGGGTGAGGGGATTAAAGGAGAAGAGAGAGAGAGAGAAGTGAAGGGCAACGTGTGTGTAGATGTGATCTTGTCTATTGCACGCTTATAAGCGGTCACGTAGTCCGGTCGTCTTTAGAAAACTTAGCAATGCCCGCGTCGCTTTGCTGGCCAGCGACGCGTAGAGCCATGAGCCAAGTATCTTCTCTTCTGAAAAAGGTCTACTGTCTAGTGCCTCTAACGTTTCGCGTAGCCAGTTGCGTTCGCTCGCAAAACGTTCACATGAACACAGTAGATATTCTATTGTCTCGTCAGATTCGCACGATTCACATCGGGAGCTATCCGCCATTCCTATGCGAAAAGAGTACGACTTTGTAAAAGCTACTCCTAACCACAGGTGGCACAGTAAAGTTGCATCCTGGCGGGAGAGGTCCGATAGAACTTTAAGCTTTCTCGATGGGCCAACCTTGTGTAGGCGGCGGTTCCTGACACTGGGGTCACTCAGCCAAGTTTCCGACATGGTGTTAGCGAACGAGTGAAGGCCCCTTGCAGCGTCGGTTCTCGACAATGGAATTGGGGTTGTCTGGGCGTCCGCGTGGGCGGATCGGGCAGCATTATCAGCAAGGTGATTACCGACAATACCACAATGTCCCGGTAACCACTGGAACACCAAGTCATGTCGTTTTGATAAAACTTCGTGAATCACTTTTCTTATTTCATTCGCTAGTTGTTGATGCTCCCTCTGTCGTAAAGCTGATTGCAAGCTCTGAAGGGATGCCTTGGAGTCGCAGAACACAGCCCATTTTTGAGGTCGGACTTTCGCAATATTGTTATGTCTGCGAGTCCACAGCGGACGTCCATGCCTCTGAAAAAGGCAATCTGTGTCAAGGCAAGCCCGCCTGACGCGAACAACTCAACGGCGTAAACACGCGCGGCGCCTTTCTGTCGCCCACGTGCAGTGAGTCACCTCAGCAAGCGAGCCCGTCGAGTAAACAACTGGCGCCTTCCTGTCTGGCGGGTCTGACGCAATGCCTTGCGACGTCACTCGTCCTTAGGTGCAGCCACCTGCAGCGCAGCCTCTCCAGATTTGAGGAGAAAGAAGGACGCGGCCCAGCGGCGACCTCATTGGAGGATTCGGACCTCGCGACCAGCGGCGCTTCGGGTTGGTCGTTTGGGTTGGACCCGGGGAATATAAAAGAAGCCCTGTGGCGCGTCGAGAGAGACCCCCTTTCACAGCAGTCCTATTTGAGAGCAGACCTATGTGTTAGAGAGGAGAGCTCGGCTCTTCGAGTCTTTGTCGGCCCCAGTGCCGAATTTGTAACGCCTCTATATATATGCTGTACATAAACCTTGTTTAACTCACCGTCGTCTCGTCCGCTCGTCTATCAGCTCTGCGCAGAAGCAGTCGCGAGCTGAGAAACCTACGCTACCAAACGGCTGGTGACCTTCCCTGCAGAGTTCGAAGCAGTGGCGCCTTCGGGACCGTGTTGGCGTCGCCGTCTTTCGAAACAGTGGTTGCAGCGGTGAGATTCGTGGTGCCCTTCGTAACGTCGTCGGAGGTGCGCGTCGCAACAGTGGTTGGCAGCTGCGGGATCGGCCGGCGTCAGCGACACCGATGCAGTGAGTGCCTGATGTTTTCCCCTCAGTTCACCAGACTACTCTAGCTCAGGTTGTAGTAGTTTAGAGAAGGGCTGTGTGAAGCATTGAAGTGAGCTTTGATCGTTTCACGCAAAGTCGAAGTGCTTTGAAAAAAAGTTAATGTGGAGGGGGTAAACACGGGAGTGTAAAAAATTGCTTGCGCGTCTTGCTAGTTGACTTATAGTGGGTACGCCAGGTAAATTGTTAACAGGGGCAAACAGCAAGAGGCTAGTGTGAACGATAGAGAACCTTAAAGTGAAGGAACTCATCGAAATTTGTGAGGAACTCGGCATTACTTTGGGCCGTGCGAAACGAAAGCAAGCGATCCTTGAGATCATGAAGGATGAGGGAGTGTCGGCTGAGGAATCGATGACGCCTGGGTGGATATCAAAGAACGCCGCGAGGAGGCTGAAAGGCGAGAAGCTCGTGAAGAAGCTTTAAGGCGAGAAGCTCGTGAAGAAGCTGAAAGGCGAGAACGTTGCGAGCGCGAGGGGGCCGAGAGACAGGAGCACCTCGAGTTGAAACGAATAGAATTGGCAATCCTACAGTGTTCGCAGGCACCTCGCGTAGCTTCTCCGGCGATTCTGGTTAACGGTTATAAAATTCGGGACCAACTGCCACCGTTCGTAGTAGGTGAGGACATGACGAAGTATCTCGTCAAGTTTGAGCCCGTCTGTGAGCGAAATGCTTTGGAGCGGTCTCTTTGGGCGCAGAACCTGTTAGCTCCTCTTCCTGGCGAAGTTTCCGACGCGATAACTTGCTTGTTGAGGGAAGCGTTTGAGAGCTATGACGAGGTTAAGGAAGTGCTCTTGGGACGTTATAAGTTGTCGCCCAAGGCTTTCAGGCAAAGGTTCCAAAACAACGCACTGATACCACACGGGCGTTTGAATCAAGGAAGCTGCTAATCTGCTACAACTGCAAAAAGAAAGGGCACATCGCGATAAACTGTCAGAAAAAGTTTGCTTTCGCAACAATCCGAGAATCGGAAAAGAACATGCGGTTGTTGGAGCCGTATCTCCAAGAAATTAGGGTGAATGGGAAAACGTGTCCAGTACTTCGTGACTCAGCGGCAACCATGGACGTTGTCCATCCTTCATTGGTGTCTCCGGATGAGTTTACAGGAGAATGCGCGTGGATTAGGCAAGTCGCCGAGGAGCAGAGTGCTTGCTTACCCATAGCTACGGTTGTCATTGAAGGCCCGTTCGGTAAGCTTCGCACCGAAGTGGCTGTGTCTGCCACGCTTCCCGATCGTTTTCCTTATCTTTTCTCTAACAACTCAGAGCATTTTTTCCAAGAGCAGGGTAAATCGTTCTTCCCCAACTTAGCGTACATGGCCCTCACGCGATCACAAGCGCGGAAGCTTTCGCAGGAGTTTGATCTTGTTCAACGCGGTGAACTCTCAAGTGACCTTGTCGGCTGGTCGACGGAACCTCAGAGAGGAAATTTTCCGCGTGAGTCATGTGAGATATCAGGCGAGTGGCCCGTCGCCGAAGCGACCGGCGCGGTTTCCGTAGCAGGGGGAGACGACATGGCGCCATTGAATCAGAGCGAGAGGGCTGCAACGCTCTCGCCTGTAGCGGAAAGTTGGAGTGAGCTGTCGAGCGTTGATCGAGAAACGCCCATTCGAGAGCAGCGTGCGGACCTCTCGA